TTAAATATTGAAAATCGAACATTTATTGAGTTTGTCAATTCAACCTATTAATGAATTAGCTTTCTGTACCGGCATGCGAGTACTCTCATGTCTATACTTTATGTCTTTTGTGTTTTAGATAGTCTTTTTTTGTGCTTGGTATCGATCCGATGAGCTCTTTTCAAGTGATACGGGAGACAGATTTATAAAATCCCGCTAACATGTTTAACCCCGCCACATTCTGTATGTATGTGCCTGTCCCAAGTCAGGAGCCTGTAATTCAGTGGTTGTCGTTTGTTGCTGTTTAACATATTCGTTTTTCGTTCATTTTTTTGTACATAAATTAGACCGTTAGTTTTCTCGTTTGAAATGTTTTACATTTGTCATTTCGGGGCCTTTTATAGCTGACTATGCGGTATGGGCTTTGCTCATTGTTGAAGGCCGTACGGTGACCTATAGTTGTTAATTTCTGTGTCATTTAGTCTCTTGTGAAGAGTTGTCTCATTGGCAATCATACTACATCTTCTTTTTTATATTATAAAAGTTTTTTCAACTTTTCCGAATCCCATATTTGAATCTTATGTAAAATTGTACTACAGTAACTGCAGGGTTACAATTTTCCAATAATAACTACGGTTTAAACCAAGTGATTTTTATAATTTGTTCTTATGGTGTGATGTTAATACACCACTGTCACAGGTTAGAGGAGGGTTGGTACTCACAAACATGTTTAACCCCTTTTCATATATGTTTGCCTGTCCTAATACAGGAGCCTACATGCAATTGAGTGGTTGGCGTTTGTTGCTGTTTATAATATTTTTTTTGTCGTCTATTGTTTTGTGCATAAATCCTGCCGTTAGATTTCTCGTTTGAATTGTTTGCATTTGTCATTTCACGGTATGGGTTATGCTCATTATTGAAGGCCAATCGGTGACCTTTAGTTGCTTACTTCTACGTCATTTGGTTTCTTGTGGGGAGTTGTTGCATTTATGGGTAATTGATAGTCATACCACATCTTCTAATTTTTATCTCTTGTGTACATTCAGAAAGAACGATTATTTTATGCAAATCTGTGATCTCTTAAAAGTTCGTTAGAGTTTCAACAGTTGGTCATCGGATTCACAGTATGAACATTTTGAAAGTAAGATTATTTCGAATACACGACATGTACAACATTTAGTTTAAACCATGGTAGAATAATTCTATTGAACATATATCATACAGTTAACATGAATCACCATGATAAAACAGTTTGATGGACTGCGATTGCGGACTTTCAGGATTTCTCTCATCCTGTCAATAAATAACTCGCCAAATATTTAAAGACCCGTTTTAAAAATTCTTTGATTGAAAAATACGGGTATCAATGTGTTTGGAGGGTGTTAAATTTGAAGATATAAAATTTAAAAGTAGATATCTGGCATCTTCCGCCATCTCGGATTGTAAAATACTAGAAAACAATCGGTCTAGTTCTTTAATGAAATAATATGTATTTTAAATGAGGAATGCAATTCATTTATAAGACTCTTCATCTAACTGAAGATAATTGTAGTTATTTGTTTTATTGTATTATTCCGATTATTTAAAAAAAAAATTGCAAAACCTGCAGCTTGATAAATATCTCCGTGACCTCACTTTTTATTAGGCTATAGTTTTGAAAACCACACGAGTCTTCATTTAATCAAAGTAAGAATAAATTGTATTTTTTTTTTATTATTTAAACCCCTACTCTACATTACTTGAATAGTTATGAATAGTTGTCCTGGTTGCTTCTGTCACATTTTTCATGAGACGGCCATTATTTTACGATGTTGTCTACAGTTTACGATGCTGTCTACAGTTATGACGTCATATTTTAGCATTACGTCAAAAACACATGACGGCAGCAATGGCAAGTCTGTCCCCTGCAATAAACAGAAATCTTCCTGCATTGAAACCCCGTGTCGAGCCTCAATGTATTGTCCTTACCCATCTGTGACGTAACGTGTATTGTTACAGAACAGACGACATAGGCAAGCGTTGCCAAGCCTAAATAAAGACCGATGGCATTTGAAAGGAGTACAGAAAGCCTAAATATAGGCTTTACGGCATAGAAAGGGTTAAAGAACATTTTACTCCTAACAACAACCATAATAACCCTATTTCTCGTATCAAACATAAACTAAAAGAACTCGCCAAGGAATTTGTTTTTGTCCCGGCTGATAAAGCTGCTAATAATATCATTATTGTTTGACGTAAATTTTACATTGAGGTTCTTCAAAAGGAAATCACGAATTCACCAACATTCCAACTGACTCCATTATCGGAAAATGACATCTGTAACAAACATAAACTTTTAGCTACTTCTTTGCAAGCAGAACCAAATACAATGAAAGTTCCAACTATGTACTGGCTTCCGAAGCTGCACAAAACACCTTACAAATATAGATTTATTTCGTCTTCAAGCCATTGTTCTACTACTAAACTGTCTATTCTACTTACTAGTACACTCGGTACAATCAAATACCTGATAATAAATTGTTTAATTAAGGCCTTTGAAAATAGTGGAACTTATTATTTTTGGATTGTCAAAAATTCGTTGGAAGTACTTGATAAATTGCATGCTTATATTGGTGATTTTGAATCTGTTCAAAGTTTAGATTTTTCTACCCTATATACCACGTTGCCTCATATTCTTATTAAGAAAAATTCACACACCTACTTAAATGGGCGTTTAAAAAGTCAGAATGCGAATAAATATGTTCAAACTCTTTTAGGTCATTTTTTAGTAACAACAAACAAAAGAACTATGTCAATTGGACATGCTTTGATACAATGACTGCCCTTGAATTTTTACTAGATAACATTTTTGTTCGCTTTGGAGATTCCGTCTATCGTCAAGTTATCGGAATTCCAATGGAGAATAACTGTGCACCACTTATTGTGGACCTTTTTCTGTATTGTTATGAGTTACAATTTATGACTAAAATCAGCAAAGACCCATCGAAACCACATCTGATACAAAAATTCAATAATACTTTTAGATATTTGGATGATATATTGGCTCTCAATAATGACGACTTCAGTATGTACACTAAACAAATTTATCCTGTTGAACTAACTTTAAATAAAGCTAATACTAACAATGAACACTGTCCTTTCCTCGATCTTGATATCTATATTATTAACGGGAAGCTTAATACCAAAGTTTATGATAAAAGAGATGATTTTTCATTTCCTATTGTTAATTATCCATTTTTAGATGGTGAAGTTCCCTTATCACCATCTTATGGTGTTTATATATCTCAACTTGTACGATTTACTCGTGTATGTAACAACGTATTAGATTATAGCGAAAGAAATCTATGTATTACTGAAAAATTATTACACCAGGGTTTTCGATATCACAAACTAGTCAAAACATTTACCAAATTTTATCATCGATACAAGGTCATCATTCGTAAATATAAATCAACATGCAGACATCTTATACGTTCAGGTATTTCACATCCAATCTTTTATTATAATATTCTTTACAAAGCACAAAAATGTCGGCATTCACCTCAAAAGCTAACAAAACCTTTAAACAGACTTATTAAGAAGGGATACAGTTACGATACTGTTGTCAGGTCATTAAAGATGGCTTATTTTGGCTTTAATATTGATTCACGTTTAGGGTCTTTGCATCGGAAATAAACACATTGATTCTAAAACCAGTTGTTGGCATGATACGGGTTATGTTCTTCTCATATATTTTATAATGGTATGATACTTAACCACTAACGGGAGGGATTGTGCTTGATATCCATATGATGAGGACATAATTTTTCGATCAGTTTAATTGAGGTCTGGAGCTGTCATGTCAGTAACTGCTAGTAGTCCTTTGTTAATTTGTGTATCATTGTCATTTTGTTTAGTTTCTTTTGTTACCTATTCTGATATCGGACTCGGACTTCTTTTAAACTGAGTTTTACTGTGCGTATTGCTCTGTCTTTGTTTTTTCTACATTGGCTAGAGGTATAGGGGGAGGGTTGAGATCTCAAAAAACATGTTTAGCCCCGCCACAGTTATGCGCCTGTCCCAAGTTAGGAGCCTCTGGCCTTTGTTAGTCTTGTATGATTTTGAATTTTAGTTTCTTTTACATATTTCGGAGTTTAGTATGACGTCCATTATCACTGAACTAGTACATATTTTTGTTTAGGGGCCAGCTGAAGCACGCCTCCGGGTGCGGGATTTTCTCGCTGTATTGAAGACCCATTAGTGGCCTTCGGTTGTTTTCTGCTCTTTGGTCGGGTTTTTTGTCTCTTTGACACATTCCCCATTTCCATTCTCAATTTTATTAAGAACTATATAAAACAAAATGGCATACAAGAATAACCAAATACGTCAAAGTTAACCTCTGCCTGTATTTGTTGGAACCTTACTTTTTTAAAGTTGAAATTCTATCTTATAAAGTGTTTTTTAATCTTTTCTATAGAGATAGAAATAGAAATAGAAATACTTTATTAATCCAATTATGGACCATTGCGGGTTTTAAATTTCATACAATGATTACAACGATTTTTGTTATGACAATGAAATAATAATAAAATAAAATATATATGTTGTGTACAAGATGCAAGTTTGTACACATTATAATTTGTACAGGGTTTTTGTACAAGTTATAAGTTTTTTGACACATACCTTTTTGCACAAGGTGATAAAAGTTTATCTTCTAAAATGTATCAGTTTAATGTTTTAAACTAATTTATATATATAAGTCAGTGTCCGCTTTCAATTTCATTTGATATTTTAATATTTTATCAGCCTATATAAATGTCCTTGACAATTTTACAAGTGTTTTGAAATCTAAAATTAATGCATCCGTATTTTAAGGTTGTGGTTCCAGTTTACGGAGTTTTGCTGACGATCTCTCTCTTGGTTATAGTTAAAACACTGAAATATACAAATATATCATAAATGCACCTATTTTGTCAATCATTTTAATTATTTTATGTACGATGAATTTCAAGCTTATAAAGACAACAAATCTTTTTTTACAGGTATTTAAAACCGTTAGATGCAAACAAAAAAGAACAAGAAACGATGAAACAGGCTCTTGCTCAATTACGTAATGAAGTTGTGGCAGGCTTTGCGTTTATCAACCTGATATGGATATCTATCAATTTTATGTTTCAACTTAGAAAACCTGCAGTTATTGAATTTCCGACAGCAGTATGTGTATTTAGATATTGATCATAAAATATTGCTTCCTTACTTTTTAGCTATAGGGTTTTCTCAATGTTGAAGGCCTAACAGTTTGTTATAATTCCTTACATCCACTTCATTTAAACTCTGGTTTTTTATCTTTATTTTGTTAGATGCAATAAATAAGTGTGAACGTTCGTTTATAGATAATGCAGAACAACACATTGTAAAATATTCTTTTTTATTAGTACAAATTATTCATAAATTTATATATCAAAGTAATGTCGCAATATTGCCAATGAGAAAAATACCCCCCAGGGTTCAAATAACTTGGAAGAAAGCAATCACTGCATGGCCTTCAACAACGATAAAAAAAAAACCATACCGTATATTCAGCGTTAAAAGGGCCCGATACAAAATATGTTTTCCAATTCGAACGAAAATACTAACGGCCTATTTTAAACAACTGCATTGCATGCTCTTGACTTGGGACAGGAACATAAAGAATGTCGCGGGTTAAACAGGTTTATGACAGTTCGACCTTACTCGAGGTATAACAGCACAAAGTAAAAACACAATTTAAAACTCAGTTGCAAATGGCTAAAATCATTAGATTAAAACCAAGCATCCCCCTCCCCCAAAAGGAAAAATAAAACCGATTTAAGAGTACTCGCAGTTTTATTCAAATTTGCTGTCATAAAATTTCAATATTTTAATTCAAGGAAAATCTCCATCAACCATAGCTCTGATTTTGTTGTTTGTGTTTAGCTGTATTAATAGACGTGTTTTGGTTTTATCAGCTCGTCGACGTTTGTATTAGGTTTTAGATTTTCATATATTTTGGCCTCGGGCATTACTGAAGGAAAAGAGATTAACTGTCGAAATTTGCATATGGTCTAATAATTTGGTACTGCTAATATTGATACCAAAAATCAAGGCTTAGAATAAGGTGTAGGTACTATAATTTAGTTACGGATCCGCGATGTAGCGGGTGTTTTCTAGTATTCCTTGATATTTGACGTATTTAAATATGTGATCGTCCCTCTTTTTTGTTTTCAGTCAGGAGCAGAGAATGTAGATGACAGTGTGATAAAGATCGACGCACTAGGTTTAATGTTTATTATATTTTTTGTTCTTATTCTCCTGATCCAGTTTATTGGTATGGTCATTCATAGATTGGGAACACTCATGCATCTTATAGCCATTACAGAGATACCAAATCCATTCAAATGCGGGAAAAAGCAAAGCTATGGAAATATAGAGGAAGAAAATACAGAGAAGCTTAATGCCAAAGAGTTGATACGGTTATGTACAGATGTAGTTGGAGAGCCAAGGCCAGACTATTCGAGTGATGAAGATGATGATGACGATGAAGAAGACGACAAAGTAGAGGAAGAACTCTCTAACACAATTGTCAACAACGCTGTCATAGGTGTAAAGGGAAACATTGGAGGAACAAGAACACCTGGGCTTGGAATGTCGTTTAGAGAAACAATGGTCATAGGCAGGGATAATATTTCCAATGATTTGAGGAGCACTCTGTCTAGTCCTAATTTTAGACAGACAGCACGAAATATGATAGCCATTTCCAAGCGAAAATATGACGAAGGAACAAAACCACCTCCAAAGGGCAACGTATTGAAATACCGAAAAAATCATCCACCAAAGTTACGGACTGATTGGGAACAAGCAAAAAAGTTTGGATCAACTAAACCTATTTTCAACGATTTTATAAACGAAATTCAGAAAGATCAGGACCTCAAACACAAAGTAAGAGGATTAGAAAAACAAACGGCAGTTGATAATCTTAAGAGAACATTACGCCGTGAGACTTCCGCAACAGATTTTGATGAACCCGTTAATGATAAAGTAAGTGGAGTCGGTACTTTAAGTCGTGCGTTCTACAAAAATCTCAATCAAAAAACAAAAGTACAAACCAGACAAAATCCAGTTTCCATCGGAAGTCATTCCGGCAGCAGATTGCGTTTTAGAGAAACAACAGAAACCATCACATCACTTTAAATCAAAATTCAACAAAACGTCACAAAACGTTTGCTTGTGTGTAAATATTTATACTAGTGTGTATTTATAACCATTTATGTTGTCTTGTCTGTTAAAATATGTTAATTAATTCCCGTGCAATGTTTTTATTTCATTGTTTTTTTTTTTAATTCAACATAATAACATTACTACTAAAAATTATAATATATGATCTTAAGAATGATTAATAATATCTATATTAGCAGTTCACATATTTAGAGCATAGCATTCATTCGAAGCTACTTATGATTTTATATATTGATGTTATTTTCTTATCTTCGATTTAAAAGAAAGTACAAGTGTTTCAGTCGATTTAGATATGTATTTAGAAGTATAACATGCAATACTGACTGTCGCATTAGTTTATTCTTACTAATAAAAACTGAGAAGCTGATCTAATCACATTATAACACATCAGTACCGAAGGCTAACTGCATACAACTATTTAAAAAATACTATTTCAACAAATGCACATCGGTGTTATAAGGTTTTCTAGAAAATATATACTCACATCACATTTTTTAATATGTATTACTAGTAAATGCAAGATTTGCAAATTAAAAATGCTTTAACGAGATTTGCTTTTATGACGTCTTATTTTTTTGCAAATATCAAATATTCATTATTATAAGAAAAGTACGAATATAAATATTCAACAAAGTACTAATTTTCTATAGGCATGTATGCAGACTTATGCAAACTCATTAAATCAAATATATACGAAACTACACTTTAAGCTCAATCCACGAAAATTGGTATACACGAAAATAAATAAATCCACTGTATCTTGTTTTTATTTCATACTACTTAAATATATCTCAATTATAGGATGATATTTGGTCACTGAACGTTAAACAAACAACAATCAATCAATAACAAAAATATTTCAAAAGAAATAGCTTGTCAAGACATAATCATGTAGAGAAAAAACGATGACTTCAAGTTTTTATTTATGGTAAAGGTATATTTCTTTTCAATATATGTACACAGTTATGATAATCCTTCAAACTGATCCGGAATAAACTTCCCATGTCGACGTTTCTGTAAGTCTGAAGTAAAACAATCAAAGCAATAACCGTTTGTCTCACTTCTACCTACATTTTTACAACCATCACGAACACAAACACTCCCAACTCGAGTCTGAGGCCGATTAAAAGTATTATCAGTACATGAGCGTTTAATTCTCATAATGCACAAATCGTCGTCCTCTTCTTTCACCACTGCTGTTTCTTGAATAACATTATTTTTTGTTGGTATGATCACAGATTGAGTCATGTACGGAAAACGTTCTTTGTCAAATTGTTTATTTTCACCTGCAAAATAAAAAAAAAAGTATTTATATATATATATATATATCTAAATATACTTTTTCACTTTTTTTGGTCTTTTGGAAAAATGTTGTTTGTGCTGTGTTCAGACCCCTCTAACAAGAAATTTGTTTTTCATGCACACGTATAAAAATTGCGGTTTTTATCCAACGCAATCATATGTTTGAACGTTGTTTTCAATTTAGACTTGTTTATATTTTTTTCGTTTGGGCTTGTATTATATTTGCCTTCGGATTTATATGATCCGTTCATCCTTTTTCGACTCTTTCAAAATTCAATAGTCTATCCTAAATTGAGGTCAATTATATGGCCTTCCAAATACCGTTTCGATTCCTAACATCACTGAAGAGACATTAATTGTCGAAATCCGGATATGGTGTACAAATTTTTGCACCTCATGTTTGCGATATACCATCTATTCCGCAAGTTAATGGTTTTCTGTTTGGTAATAAATTAATAATATGATTCATTTTTTTACATCTGGTGATCCGTTTATTTGTCAATCGCCAATGGCAGTCAGCAGGGTCTAAGAACATTAGTTGTTCGACCTGCTAGTCAAATGCGTTTTGTTTAAATATACTTTTTGACTTTTTTGGTCTTTTGGAAAAATGTTGTTTGTGCTGTATTTAGACCCCTCTAACAAGAAATTTGTTTTACATGCACACGTATAAAAATTGCGGTTTTTATCCAACGCAATCATAGGTTTGAACGTTGTTTTCAATTTAGACATGTATATATATATATATATACACGAGGTTTGAACGTTGTTTTCAATTTAGACTTTTATATATTTTTTCGTTTGGGCTTGTATTATATTTTCCTTCGGGTTTATATGGTCCGTTCATCCTATTTCGACTCTTTAAAATTCAAGAGTCTATCCTAAATTGAGGTAAATATATGGCCTTCCAAATACCGTTTCGATCCTTAACATCACTGAAGAGACATTAATTGTCGAAATCCGGATATGGTGTACAAAAACCTTTGCACCTTTTGTTTGCGGTATACCATCTTTTCCACAAAATTATTGTTTTCTGTTTGGTATTAAATTAATATTAAGATCCATTTCGTTAGATCTGATCCGTTTATTTGGCAATCGCCAATGGCAGTCAGCAGGGTTTAAGAACATCAGTTGTTCGACCTGTTAGTCAAATGCGTTTTGTTAAAATAGACTTTTTCACTTTTTTTTGTCTTTTGGGAATTGTTGTTTGTGCTGTATTTAGACCCCTCTACCAAGAAATTTGTTTTACATGCACACGTATAAAAAATGCGGTTTTTATCCAACGCAATCATAGGTTTGAACGTTGTTTTTAATTTTGACTTTTATATATATATATATATATATATATATAAAATGACTGAATAATAGCCAACGATAAATCTTACGGGGCGATGGATCATATAAATATGATACAGTACACTACAAAATATAATATATAACCAGTCTAAAAGGGTACAACATCACCAAAAAATGACAATAAACGAACAAATGTAACTATAAATATTTCGGATAACAGATATCCTTCATCAATATGAGCACGATGTAAAATGAATCAGATAAATCTATTCTGATTATTAAACTATAGCAATCTTGAATTCTATACAATAAAAAAGTGAAACAGTTTCACCCGAACATCATATGTAGAGACGCTAATAAATTTTTAAAATTTCCAAAAAACGACTCAAAGACATGCCTAAAATGAAAATAGTAATTATAGATATGAACTGGCACAACTTTAAAATTCCAAAATGACGTCAGTTAAGATGTTACAATAACTGCGTGTAAATACATTCCCAAAAGAACAGCACTGATCGATATAAGCTGGTAAAATATGACAAACAGAGGCTGCGTATTTATCATTCCAAATAAATAGCAGTTTTATAATGAAAAGAAAAAATAATAGTAAATTTGGGCTAAGGTTAAAAGTTGGACGTGGATGCGTACTTGTATATCCCTACCAAATGAAAAGAACCCTGGTATTTAAACTAGTAAAATTCCAAAAGAATCCTTAAAACTGTAAGAGTCAAGTAAGGAAGCCGGAGTAACTGGAAACAAATGATGTCAGGAAAATGAGTGATGGTAGGGAAAATGAGTGACTCATTCTATGTTTTTTCATTTATGCCCTCTAGGGAAACTTTCCTTAGCTTTCTTATCCAAAACCTTTCCCGAGCAAGTCTTTCGGCCCTTGACCAACCCTCGTTGTGGTCTATGATTGTGATTGTAAGGTTTTTGAGATCAGCTTGGGCGTGCCCAGGTGATTTCAAATGACGACTTACGGGGAGGCCGGGCTTGCAGGTGTAGTCACTTCGATGACCATTCATGCGTTTGTTGAAAGGCTGTTCTGTCTCGCCAATATACTGCATGCCACATCGACACTGAAGAAGGTATACAACATTCTGTGTTTTGCAAGTTACATTACAAAATATAGTGTACACAGACCCAGTGGAGTGGCAAGTAAATGTTTGAGTATTCAGTATTTGTTGGCAAGTCAGACATCGTCTGTTACCACACGACTTGCACCATCCTGCAGTTGAACAGCTTTTATTAGAGGAGACGTCAGCTCTCACAAATAAGTCTTTCAGACTTGCTGGTCTCCGAAAAGCTAAGACAGGAGGATTGGGAAAGATCTTGGATAATTTTGGGTGATTGGCAATAGTTTGCCAATTGGCACGGATTAAACGTGAAAGGTTAGTGAAGGCGGGATTGTATGTTAAAACAAACGGAACTATTTTGTTGCGCCTCTTCTGTTTGTACTGTAATAGGTCATTGCGGCTGTTGTTATTAGCACGCGCAAATCCCTTATCTATGTCCAATTTCTTATAACCTCGTTTGGTCAAAAAACCGCGAAGTTCCTGTAACCTTTTAGTGACAGCCTCCTCAGAGGAGCAAATCCGCTTTACTCTGAGAGCTTGACTGTACGGGATACTTTTTGTACAGTGTTTGGGATGACAGCTTTGGGGAGAAAGGTACTGATGTTTATCTGTGGGTTTACAGTAGAGATCTGTTGATATGACACCGTCCTTAATAGATGTAGTAGTGTCTAAGAAAGATATTTTGGAGTCGGAAATTTCATATGTAAATTTAATTGACTGGTGTGCGTTGTTTGCATGTCTGATAAAATCATCCAATTTTTGTTGGGATTCAATCCATTTCATGTCAACATCATCGATGAAACGGAACCAAGACAGAGGTTAGGATAAAGATGTTGAAATAATTTGTTTCTCTAATTTTACGCCAATATTTTCATGGGAAAATTAGAGAAACAAATTATTTCAACATCTTTATCCTAACCTCTGTCTTGGTTCCGTTTCATCGATGATGTTGACATGAAATGGATTGAATCCCAACAAAAATTGGATGATTTTATCAGACATGCAAACAACGCACACCAGTCAATTAAATTTACATATGAAATTTCCGACTCCAAAATATCTTTCTTAGACACTACTACATCTATTAAGGACGGTGTCATATCAACAGATCTCTACTGTAAACCCACAGATAAACATCAGTACCTTTCTCCCCAAAGCTGTCATCCCAAACACTGTACAAAAAGTATCCCGTACAGTCAAGCTCTCAGAGTAAAGCGGATTTGCTCCTCTGAGGAGGCTGTCACTAAAAGGTTACAGGAACTTCGCGGTTTTTTGACCAAACGAGGTTATAAGAAATTGGACATAGATAAGGGATTTGCGCGTGCTAATAACAACAGCCGCAATGACCTATTACAGTACAAACAGAAGAGGCGCAACAAAATAGTTCCGTTTGTTTTAACATACAATCCCGCCTTCACTAACCTTTCACGTTTAATCCGTGCCAATTGGCAAACTATTGCCAATCACCCAAAATTATCCAAGATCTTTCCCAATCCTCCTGTCTTAGCTTTTCGGAGACCAGCAAGTCTGAAAGACTTATTTGTGAGAGCTGACGTCTCCTCTAATAAAAGCTGTTCAACTGCAGGATGGTGCAAGTCGTGTGGTAACAGACGATGTCTGACTTGCCAACAAATACTGAATACTCAAACATTTACTTGCCACTCCACTGGGTCTGTGTACACTATATTTTGTAATGTAACTTGCAAAACACAGAATGTTGTATACCTTCTTCAGTGTCGATGTGGCATGCAGTATATTGGCGAGACAGAACAGCCTTTCAACAAACGCATGAATGGTCATCGAAGTGACTACACCTGCAAGCCCGACCTCCCCGTAAGTCGTCATTTGAGATCACCTGGGCACGCCCAAGCTGATCTCACAAACCTTACAATCACAATCATAGACCACAACGAGGGTTGGTCAAGGGCCGAAAGACTTGCTCGGGAAAGTTTTTGGATAAGAAAGCTAAGGACAGTTTCCCCAGAGGGCATAAATGAAAAAACATAGAATGAGTCACTCATTTTCCCTACCATCACTCATTTTTCTGACATCATTTGTTTCCAGTTACTCCGGCTTCCTTACTTGACTCTTACAGTTTTAAGGATTCTTTTTGGAATTTTACTAGTTTAAATACCAGGGTTCTTCTCATTTGGTAGGGATATACAAGTACGCATCCACATCCAACTTTTAACCTTAGCCCAAATTTACTATTATTTTTTCTTTTCATTATAAAACTGCTATTTATTTGGAATGATAAATACGCAGCCTCTGTTTGTCATATTTTACCAGCTTATATCGATCAGTGCTGTTCTTTTGGGAATGTATTTACACGCAGTTGTTGTAACATCTTAACTGACGTCATTTGGGAATTTTAAAGTTGTGCCAGTTCATATCTATAATTACTATTTTCATTTTAGGCATGTCTTTGAGTCGTTTTTTGGAAATTTTAAAAATTTATTAGCGTCTCTACATATGATGTTCGGGTGAAACTGTTTCACTTTTTTTTATTGTATAGAATTCAAGATTGCTATAGTTTAATAATCAGAATAGATTTATCTGATTCATTTTACATCGTGCTCATATTGATGAAGGATATCTGTTATCCGAAATATTTATAGTTACATTTGTTCGTTTATTGTCATTTTTTGGTGATGTTGTACCCTTTTAGACTGGTTATATATATATATATATATATATATAAAGCTTAGAAGTTACTTACGATTTAGTTCATATTTAAAATACCTGTTTTACATTGAAATGTGTTACGTCAAAATTAATGTAATAAGTGGTAAATAAATCACACTGAAAGCTTGACTTGGAAACACGACTTTAAAATACAAGAGATTCGGTCGAAGATTATGCCGACACTAGGCTATATAAACGCTTCATAGATACCAGTATTAGAAGACACGCGTTTCGTCTACAAAAGACTCGTCAGTGACGCTCGAATAAAAACATTTAAGTATACGAAGTTGAAGAGCATGGGGGCTCAAAATATTCCAAAAAAGTTTTGCCAATTACAGCTAATGTAATATATTCCTAAGGTAGAAAATCCTTAGTATTTCGAATAAAAACCCTTTTTTTTTTAAACAGTTAATTTATAATAAACGCATAAAACAAGACGTGGATACGCTTTAATAATGGGTAAAGGCTGTGAAGTCGTTGATACATAGGGCTGCTCAATGTACCTTTGAAATTTCAACCAAAAATGAAGATTTGGATCTTGCTTTACTGTCTTCGATACCAAATTGTTCTTGCAACATTATATAACATTTGACTTCTCTACCCTTTACACTAGCATTCCACATTCTAAACTGAAAGACTTCTTTTTCCAGAAACCAGTTTTTATCTTCATGTTCCGCTATAATTATAGATTATGTCCTCTCGCTAAATAAATTAAAGTTTAGTAACAATGTTGATGCATCTATCGAATCGGACTTAGAATGAAGAATACGACAGATGCAGTTGTCTGCTCATATTATGACTTACATCTAGAATTCGCCAATGAGTGTCGGTTGAAAACAAAACTTTATGACAAAAGAGATAATTTCAGCTTTCCAATTGTCGTATCCTCAATCCCGTCCTTTTTTCTGTCGATTGTGACATCACCAAATGAGATTCGTAATTCCATGAATTTGCAATTACCTTAAATAACATGACGGGTATACCCTTCTGGAGCACCTGAGATCAACCCTTGTTTTCGGTTATGTTCGTGTTGTTCGGTCTTTAGTTTTCTATTTAGTACTTTATGAACTTGTTTGTCTTGTCTTCGTCTTTTGTTTTTTCCATGACGTTGTCAATTTCTCTCGACTTACTAGTATGAGTTTTGAAGGTATTTTGAGCCTCTTTTTGATATACCATACAGACACGTTTTTTATTATTACAGACCTTGTGTTGTTATCCATATGTATTTTGATTTTTTCATAGTTTGCTTATTGTCTTAATTGACGTACGACTCAAACCTGCTTTTATTCATTACTATTGTAACTGATTATTAGGGAATAAAAGGCACATCCTGTCTATCAATCAAGCCTTTAAATTATGATAAGTACACTTTACACAAATAAATCCTTTGGTATATAATTTAAGTATTGTGTAGTGAAAGGTTTTATTTCTGATTTCTAGACAATATATTACATCTTATACACTCACGCTTTTTATCCTTCGTTTTGGATGGATCATCATGAATTTGGTCAGTCGTGTTTGATGTCATATTTCAGTATTTAATTTCTCTGACCCTGGACATGTACGTCTGAAATAAACACAAAAAAACTCTGATCTTTAGAACATGTTGAAAAGCTTAACTCCTTCGATGTTTGTTTAAACCTGGGATTAGTAGAAAAATAAACTGAACTTTTCTATATATTATGACCTACATTTTTTTATTAGTTTCATTTTTGCATTTTGCATCCCGGACCGGATGTTGTCATCTCGATTATTTAAGTTGTAATCAATTATGCCAATCATTGCTGTTCAATATAAAATAATGTGGTATGATTGCCAATGAGACAACTATCCACTGTGAGTGCCACCAAAGTTCAAATGAAGTGGATGTAAGCAATTATAGGCCAACGTACGGCTTCCAACACTGAGAAAAATCCATACGGTATAGTCGGCTATAAAAGGTCCCGACATGAAAAATATGAAAGAATTCAATTGAGAAAACTAACGGCCAAAACAATTTACGAAAACGAAATATGACCGACATGAACCAACGACAACCACTGAATTACAGATTCCTGACTTGGGACAGTCAAATAAAGGATGTGGCGGGGTTAAACATATTTGTAAGCGCGCAACCCTCCCCCTAACCTGGGACAGTGGTGTTACAGCACAACATAAGAACAAACAATAAAAATCAGTTGAAAAGGGTTTAACTCATCAGAACGATACAAAGCAGAAAAACATCTTACAAAAACACAGACCGCACGTGGCAGGGTATTTATACATCCATATACAAAGAACAGGTAGATTTATGAGTGCTAAGAAAATTTTAGTTCGAAAAGCTAACAAAGCAATGTATGAAATATTGAAAAAGGAGAGGTTGCACAACTTTTCAGTGAAATCTTAATATGATCTGTTTGATAATATTGTGAAGCCAATCCTACTATATGGATGTGAGATTTGGGGTTTCAGTAATACTGATATTATAGAAAGAGTGTATTTGAAATTTTGTAAATTATTATTAAATCTTAAGAAGTCGACACCTAGTTTTATGATTTATGGTGAACTTGGTATTTATTCCATGTCTTTATATATACAGCTGCGTATGGTTAATTTTTGGTAAAAAATGGTAAATAGTGTTGATAACAGGATTGCTAAAATATTATACAGATACATGTTCTTGAAGAATTCTGAAAACCAATTTAGGTCAGATTGGTTGAAATACGTTAAAGATGCATTAGATAGATGTGGATATAGCAATATATGGTTGTCACGAGGAAATTTTAATTCTAAATGGTTGGGTATTAGTTTAAAACAAAAGTTATTTGATCAGTTTCAACAGAAATGGAGAGCAGATATTGACTGTTCATCAAAAGGTTTGGCCTACAAATTGTTTAAACAAAAATTTGAATATGAAGAATATCTGAATATTTTAAGTGATAAAGATAGAATAACATATTGTAGATTTAGAACAGGAAACCACAAGTTACCCATCGAAACTGGTAGATGGAATAAAATTGAACGTAACTATAGATATTGTAATTTATGTCAATGTAATGAGATTTGTGATGAATTTCATTACATTTTGCAGTGTAGTTCTTTGGCACATTTGCGAGCACAATATTTGGATACTTTTTTCTTGCACAGAATTAATATACTAAAGTTTGAAAAACTATTTCAGTTAAAATACAATCAAAGTACTGAAGTACTGAACATCGGATGACCGCAGGTTCTTGTGTATGGTCAAAAGCACATGTCACAGAAACAGATCACATCTCTATACCTGAAACTGAGGTTAATTTACAGAGATTTTTTTTTCTGATACAAGTTCCTGCTTGGATGATGAATAAATGACAGGAAATTCAACCTCACCGTAATAACTATTATATTGTAGTGATACAAATCAGTATACCTTAGACTATTATACTAATATAATAATAGTTCCAGAGAATACACTGGTTTGTTGTTATATATTATATTAATATTACGGTTGCATGTATATATAATTTTCATCTATTTGTATATCATTCTATTCTACTATTATTATAGTGCAGTGCAAGTGCATGGTGGACACTCTTCTGTAAAAAAAATCAAAGCCTTAAAGGCTGTAAAAGCAATTGCTGCCATGTTAATGCTTTGTGGACTTTTATTTTTCATCCATATATATAAGAATTAAACCTGACAGGACAGGAGTGCTGACTAGTGAGAAGCAAGACGGTTTTAACTTTATATCAATAAAAGACTTTAGCAGGAAATCATTTTAAATATGTTTTATATTTCACAAGGAGACAACAAGTTTACCAGGCTAAAGTTGGGGTTAATTATACATGTGCTGAAACATATAACTAAAAAAAAAATCAATATGGATTGTCCCCTGGTAGTGTTTGTAACTGGGCAATAATTTCCTTTATTGATTTAATTTTAACAATTTTCATAATTAATTTAAATTAACCATTCAGTTAAAACATTTCAACTTTCCAGACGCAAATGTTGAAAAACGGGCAAGAAATAAAATATCTTACAAGACATAAACATGTAAAAAATAAAAATATATTTCAGCTTACTAAAAATATTTTCATAATGTTACTTTGACATCATTTCTTAAAACTAAGTCCCAAACATAATTGCTCAGTTGATATGTGTCATCCTCATGCGATACGAGATAACTATAATTCTGATGCAATCCCGAAAAGGGGGGTCATCACAAACAAACATGACATTAAATTGTCATTATACGAACTAGAACAAACAGCTCTATGTTGCTTTGATATTTATCAATTTTCAGGAAACATGTGAAATAAATTTCAGGTCCATTTCATTATAGTGCCTAACAAGATTGTGTGAGGTAGACGAAATTGACCTTAAAACGATCGTATTGTCTTTTGATGTCCAAAAATAGGCAGATCGGACATATAAGGACTTTATCTAATGACTACATAAATTTGGGATTTATTATTATTATAATATTCTAATGAAACTGAAAATTGTATTTTTTTGTTAGGATAAACAACAATTTTACCTGGCGTAGCCGTGCATAAAATGTTTTTCTGCGAAAAATGGCGTATTTAATGGAATAGAACGTTAATACAGTAAACTTTCTCTTTTTTCTCCGCAATAGGCTATCAAAAATAATTTATCTAATGTGTATGTGGAAAATTATGTGAAAAGATAAAAAGTGGCAATTGTTACCTTTCATACCTTAAGTTTCATTCATATGCCGCTATTATTGTTGTTGTTACCAATTATGTAAATCAATTGTATCTGATTTTATGCCCTTTATGGGCCCTGTAATTTGGAAAATACAAAAAAAAAAATCTATTCATTGATAAAACGTAATATGGACTGGTCCAGTGTCCAGTTTGCAGGTCATTTAATTTACTGTACACATTCATGCACGCTCTGATTTAATCGATATACTCGTACGAAAAAGCATGAACAGTTTGAAGCTAATCTAATAATAACTTAATCCAATCAAATTGCATAAGATTCAATAACAATGTCCAGTCCACATCATAATGCGTAATAGGGGTAAACTTGGTAGGGAGAAAATGACAGATATTTCAAGTTAATATTTATGCAATAACGAATTAAAATTTGTCAACCAAAAGTTTTGCTACAATTTCAAAAACATGTCGTTCTGTATGGGTATAGTTTTCGGATCTTTCATTAGCGTATTTAAGGCTATAAAAAGTTTGGGCTTCAAAAGTTCACACAATTATTGACCGTATACAGAAAATTCGTCCTTGTAAAACATTTAATAGTTCACAAATGATACGCGATTTTAAAGTAAAATTATTTCTTAAAACACTGCAAAAAATTTCATTCATATTGATAAAGTGGTATCGTCATAAAGTGCGTTGAAATGAACAGTGGTATAGCAAACATCGAATTTCCTCACAAAATGTTATCACACACTATAGTAAGGGGAGTCAGTTAAGTTTGTTTATTTTTAGATTACAGGTAATCATTTGACATTACGTATACAACCTGTGTGACCTGTGTAGTGATTTTGATTTTACGATAAATTCATGAATGAATGAACGATAATTTTATGAATGAACATGAGCACCTGACCTCTTTCTTAAACACCAATTAAACATATAAAACCGTATTTAAAAGGAGATAATTCAGTCAAATTTTCAGTACTAAATCAACAACTGAAATAATTCCATTTTTTGATGAAACATCGTACGAACGGAAAACGGAATCGCAGGTATAAAAATGCACTTTTTTCCCTTGTAATGACCGCGGATCTATAATTTTTATAGATCGGTTGAAATCCCAAAACTAATTTGCATAATGGAAATTTAGGCGATAGCAATACATCGGAATGACCTGAAGGTCATCCTCTGTAAAAATAAGTTCAAAAAGCTGTGCAAATTTATCAGGGTTATAACTTTTCAAGTGAGTCTTCCTGGTTAATCACCAATCTTCGCCACTACTGTTTATTTTATTTTATTTTTTTTCATCTCATCTTGTCATGTGAGTTTATATTATGTTATAATTTTTGATGAACTTCTTTGTACCATTGTAACTATATGGTGTTTGAGAAATAAAGAATCTTGTAATCTTTAGAGTACTCGCAGTTACTGACAGCTAGTTCAAAGCCAATAACAACTCATAAAAAAATATCATGTATCTAAGACTAAAATATCAATCAGTACACATACAACATTCAATGGATTTAATGTAAAGCCATCATTAACAGTCAGAGAAAAACATGACCTTGTGCAATTACAGTGTTGAATTGGTAGCCTTTTAGAATAAGTTTATTTTAAGGATTGATAAGTTTACCCGGATCGTATCTAAATTTCCGGGTTCGATAAACAACATCACCGTAAAATTTAGGATGTTCGAAAATTGTAAACTTATTAAAATAAATGATGCCGCGGCTTGTAAGGACAAAAAAGTATAACAAAAGCTTTGAATAATGCATATATAATGCATGTTTCAAAGCTGTAGTTTAATAACTTTTTGAGAATAAAGATTAAGTAAAAGTACTTAAAAATACGCAAAAATACCTAAGAATTACAATTTTCCCTGAATCAAAATTACAAAGATGACAATCCATATGACAACTTAATCACATAATTGTAGGATAAAGGAACATACTATAATAATTGTAAATATTTATTAGTTCTTTGAATTATGCCGGTGTTAAGAGTATTAAAAAGGTCGAATCATGGCAATGCTGTGAGTATTTACTTAACCGTCAGGAATGTCATAGTGTATACCCAATTAACGCCATTTTGGTTATACAAAACTTAATCTGATATATAATTTATATACGCTTTGGGCAATTTTAAGGGTGAACAAGATTATTTTTAACAAGACTTAGTAAAGACGATTACAACTGTTTATATCTTACATCTTACCTGAGCAAGTTTTAGAATCCATTGCAATACTAAATTATACACACTTTATCAGTTCAATAAGTTTTACAGGTAGTTTTATCTTGTATATGTAGATCATTCTGCTGTGGGATGAAGTATGTTTATTTTTTGATACAAAAAACATGATGAAAAAGAATAAAATATGTTTTTTTTCTGAGACCAATATAACTTCGACGTAAAGGGAGTAGAGACGGGTAACTCCAACATTCCTGTCATTTATCTTTTCTTATATTTACACCATGGACTATGTAGGGCTTTTTACATGATCCTCCAAAGTAAGGTTAAAATTCACCGTGTCATTTTATCGTATCGCATTCTGTATCACGACGAAAAGCCAATATCAGTCCCGAGGGCCGAAGGTCCCGAGGGCTGACATTGGTCGAGTGGTGATGCAGCATGCGATACGGACTTTGCCATGTATTGATCTGTTTATCATAGATTTTAACAATATCAGATTCATGATATATAAGGCCAACATATTTGAAAATCCAAAACTTTTTTAAACAATTGAAGCGGTTGTCAGGACAAAAAGGTCATGCTAAATCTTATACTTGTGAAGAACCAAACTCATTCCAAATACACGAACGACGAAATCATCAAAATGCTAGACTTTTTTTGATAGGTTGATATTTTAATAGATTAGTACTTTAATTGGTACTAATTTGGAAATTGTACATTTACCGATTGTGTCCTATTTCTGACTGATTGTTGACTCGCTCGACGCTCGCCCGACGCTCGCTCTTTTTGGAGTTTATCTCCTCATGTTAGGTTTTTATCTTGATTTGTATCTTCTTAATGGATTTATGACATTTAAACATTGGTACACTACTGGTACCTAAATAATGGTCCACATCCTGTAGATACTTATATTTTGAAAATACAAAATATCATGCTTTTTCAGACTGTTTGTGACGTCTTTACACTAAATCAGTAAGATATATACTGATTGATAGTTTAGTCTGTACTATTAACTGCCTAGTAAAAACGTACTAGTGACTTCCAAACATTTGTAAGGGTTTTCTCCTAACCCTAAGTCTAATCCCAAAACGCGACCATTCGTCGAAATCCAACAGACAGTTTATGTCACCACATGCGAAACTTGTTGCCGTTTATGTGAAATTGAGAATGGAAATGGGGAATGTGTCAAAGAGACAACAACCCGACCATAGAACAGACAACAGCAGAAGGTCACCAACAGGTCTTCAATGCAGCGAGAAATTCCCGCACCCGGAGGCGTCCTTCAGCTGGCCCCTAAACAAATATATATACTAGTTCAGTGATAATGAACGCCATACTAAACTCCAAATTGTACACAAGAAACTAAAATTAAAAATAATACAAGACTAACAAAGGCTAGAGGCTCCTGACTTGGGACAGGCGCAAAAATGCGGCGGGGTTAAACATGTTTATGAGATCTCAACCCTCCCCCTATACCTCTAGCCAATGTAGAAAAGTAAACGCATAACAATACGCACATTAAAATTCAGTTCAAGAGAAGTCCGAGTCTGATGTCAGAAGATGTAACCAAAGAAAATAAACAAAATGACAATAATACATAAATAACAACAGACTACTAGCAGTTAACTGACATGCCAGCTCCAGACTTCAATTAAACTGATTGAAAGATTATGTCTTCATCATATGAATATCAGGCACAATCCTTCCCGTTAGGGGTTTAGTATCATACCATCATAAAATATATGAGAAGAACATAACCCGTGTCATGCCAACAACTGGTTTTTAAATAAATGTGTTTAGTGCCGATGCAAAGACCCTATAAGTGAATCAATATTAACGCCAAAATATGCAATCTTTAATGACCTGACAACAGTATCGTAACTATATCCTTTCTTAATAAGTCTATTTATAGGTTTTGTTAGCTTCAGAGGTGAATACTGACATTTTTGTGCTTTATAAAGAATATTTCCATAAAAAAATGGATGTGAAATACCTGAACGTATAAGAAGTCTGCATGTTGAGCTATATTTACGAATGATATCCTTATACCGATGATAAAATTTAATAAATGTTTTGACTAGTTTGTGATATCGAAAACCCTGGTGTAATAATGTGTCGACAATTGCACCAAAACATCGATATAGTTGCAGCAAAGATTTGAAAAATAATTGATTGTAGAATACTTAACGATTAATCATTGAGTTATGATTCAGAGAATTGGTTTGTATCGATGGTTTACATTCAGATAATTGGTATGTACCGATGGTTTTCAATGAAAATCGGTATGTACCGATATGGTTAGGTAAAATATGAATATATAAACTTGCATATAACATTATGCTTTATTGTAACATGAATGGTAATTTTTCCTTTGATCTTCGAGTGAGTTAACTTCGGTTATTTTTAGAGGAGTGTGTTAATTAAATGATTTTTTAGTTATTGCACTCTCCAGTCCCGCCGTGTGTCGCTTGTCATAGGAAAAGCAAAGAATGAGGAGCTTAGACCAGTGCTCTAACTTCTATCTCAAAAGTTGTTATTTCACTGTCTAGCTCCGCCTCCTTGGCCTAATAATCTCTGAAATCAATGACCATAAAATGTCCTAATGAATGTAAACAAAATGCATACACAACAATATATAAAAAACAAATCGAGAAAAGGGGGGGTGAGGGTGCTTACCCTAACACTAGCCAAACTTGTAAACCTAACCCTAAATTAAAATGGTTCCCTATACATTGTACTTGAAACAAATGAATGCTCGAGGAGAGCTACAAAAAGGAATAACGTGGTCTGTAAACGAAGAGGCGATATTGATAAGTTGGTGGATACTTGTTTTTATCGTGACAATATAAATATTCCAAAAAAATTGAGTGTGGTTTAGTATATATGTATCCGTCTTTTCGTAAGTGAAAAAAATAGAAATAAAATGATGAATTTTCTGATGTGTATTTTTCCAATTGTTTTGTTTGTATGAATATGTAGTCTCCAATGCTCTTTAAATGTATTTAAGAATGAATGCTTCTTTTCGTAATTTTATTGGGGTGTAAAAGTGTTGACCAAAGCACATTTTGTATGAAGCGCTAAAAATGTGTGCACGATCAACACTTAAACACCCAAATAAAATTACAAAAAGAAGCATTCATTTCTTATAATAACATTTTTATGCTAATAAGACCATGACAAATTTTTTTATCAAGTTTTTTTTTAATTTACCTGTGCACATTTTTGTGGAAGCACGTGTCATCACGAATGTAACATTTCATTTTGATATAAAGGTTCACTTTTGAATGACGCGCGATTGTTGTTAGCCAATCAAACTAACGGATTCTCGTGAAAAATACATGTAATGTAATTATTTTGCTTTGTTAGTCTATTGATCGAGACAAAGGTTGAGATCTCATTGTTGTTTAAAACTCGCCACATATTCCAATGATCAGGGTCATTGTCAGTGGTTCAAGTCTCAAGTTCAAGTTCAAGTTCAAGTTCAAAAGCTTTATTTATAGACGAAATCAGTATACAGAAAACATAAGCTCTATTGAGCTTTTATATCGTCTCAACAGTGGTTTTGTCATTAAATACTCCCTCTACAAAGTGGCCGGGAAATTTAGTGTTTCAATTTTCAGTCCTTCCGTCCTTATATCTTCTGAAATCAAACAGTTGTCAAGAATTTGTTATCGTCATTTCTGCAGATATTGATATGATAATCTGTAAATTATTGTTTAATCATGACAGATATAATTAGTGTTTCATTCCGGTAGAATACATTGTAATAGAAGAACGGCCTTGTACTTTCACAATTTCTTAAAATTGTACTTGTCAATTTATTATTTTAGTAATGCATGTAGATCTGGAACTGAATTTTGATACATTAGTGTACAATTGAGACTAACAGATGGAGTTTGCGTTTCGTTGTAAGTGACCGAATTTTCAAGAAATGTTTATACATTTGTTTAGTTTATAATGATGAGTTACAGATAGATTTTGCGTTTCGTTCTGGTTCACGGAATTTTCAGGGAATTACGACCGACGGTCATTAAAACTTGTACTACTTATCCGCACTGTTTGCAATTCCTGCAGATTGGTTGATGTTTTGTTCATTAAAGTGTTATAATAATTTACAGATCGAGTTGTACATTTAAGTTTCATAAGTACTCACAGATCGACTTACGTCTTGTTTCGATTAACCAGATTTTCACAGAATTACGAAGGTTTTTTTTTAGTTTAAGTAATCCCGTTTCATAGAATTTTTTTTAACAATCCTGACTATAAGTGTTATACATTTGCATTTTCTTTGATCCTTTGGGGGATAGTTGTCTCATTGGCAATCATACCACATCTCCTTATTTTTATATGGAACTATCGAAAAATGCCCTTCAACAGCAAATAAGGAACTAGTCTTTCTGATATCAGTAAACATTTAATTAATTTTTCTCACGTAATCTTGCATTTATCGAAGAATGGCAATGTCCAATTATGAGATCTTTCCGTTGATATTGATGAATTCAAAAAGCTTTAACCGAAATGATAGTTTGCATATTTCTATTAGTAAGATGTCTTATATAAAGATATGATTCAAATATGTTTAAATTTGTGGTAAACCTGATGCCATATTTTAAATATATTAAAACACTTATGTAAAATCACCTAAATAATAATTCGTTGACTTGTAGACTTGTAAAAAGTAAAATCACAAAAATACTGAACTCCGAGGAAAATTCAGATAGGAAAGTCCCCAATCAAATGGCAAAATCAAAAGTTCAAACACATCAAACGAATGGATAACAACTGTCATATTCCTGACTTGGTACAGGCATTTTCTTATGTAGAAAATGGTGGATTGAACCTGGTTTTATAGCTAGCTAAACCTCTCACTTGTATGACAGTCGCATCAAATTCCATTATATTGACAACGATGCGTGAACAAAACAAACAGACACAATAGGTAAAAATGTCAAAAATAGGGGTACAGCAGTCAACATTGTGTTATCATCTTAATCACTATAAAAAAAAAACAAATGTAACGAAGAAACACAAAAAGGCATACATCAAATTTAACATCCTCATTTTGCTTATATTATACGATTTTATTTATCTATGTAAAATCCACCCATAAACTAAAGGATGGAAGGTTTTGGCTTATGAGACAACTATCTGACAAATATGAGAATAAGGAGACGTGGTAGGATTGCCAAGGAGACAACTATCTAACAAATATAAGAATAAGAAGACGTGGTATGATTGCTTATGAGACAACTATCTAACAAATATAAGAATAAGAAGACGTGATATGATTGCTAATGAGACAACTATCCAACAAATATAAGAATAAGAAGACGTGGTATGATTACTTATGAGACAACTATCTAACAAATATGAGAATAAGAAGACGTGGTATGATTGCTTATGAGACAACTATCTAACAAATATGAGAATAAAGAGACGTGGTATGATTGCTTATGAGACAACTATCTAACAAATATGAGAATAAGAAGACGTGGTATGATTGCTTATGAGACAACTATCTAACAAATATGAGAATAAGAAGACGTGGTATGATTGCTTATGAGACAACTATCTAACAAATATGAGAATAAGGAGACGTGGTATGATTGCCAACGAGACAACTATCCAACAAATATGAGAATAAAGAGACGTGGTATGATTGCTTATGAGACAACTATCTAACAAATATGAGAATAAGGAGACGTGGTATGATTGCCAACAAGACAACTATCCAACAAGTATGAGAATAAGGAGACGTGGTATTATTGCCAACGAGACAACTATCTATCAAATATGAGAATAGGAAGACGTGGAATGATGCCAATGAGACAACTATCCAACAAATATGAGAATAAGAAGACGTGGTATGATTGGCAATGAGACATCTATCCAACAAATATGAGAATAAGGAGACGTGGTATGATTGCCAATGAGACAACTATCCAACAAATATGAGAATAAGGAGACGTGGTATAATTGCCAATGAGACAACTATCTAACAAATATGAGAATAAGAAGACGTGATATGATTGCCAATGAGACAACTATCCAACAAATATGAGAATAAGAAGACGTGATATGATTGCCAATGAGACAACTATCTTACAAATATGAGAATAAGAAGACGTGGTATGATTGCTTATGAGACAACTATCCAACAAATATAAGAATAGGAAGACGTGGTATGATTGCCAATGAGACAACTATCTATCAAATATAAGAATAACGGACGTGGTATGATTGCCAATAAGACAACTATCAAACAAATATAAGAATAACGGACGTGGTATGATTGCTTATGAGACAACTATCTAACAAATGTAAAAATAAGGAGACATGGTATGATTGCTTATGAGACAACTATCTAACAAATGTAAAAATAAGGAGACATGGTATGATTGCCAACTATAAAACAAAGTCTAAATGAAGCGGATGTAAGCAATGTCTTTATTATGCTATGCACCAATCAAAAGTTATGTGTTTAGTCAAAATGCTATAAACAAAAAAATAATGCAGATTCGATCAAATCAATTAAGAAAGCAACATATTGGGATTCTGAGCGTTATATTTATCGCACATAATAAAAAAGAGGTTAATATAATTTAGGTTCATATATAATTAATATAGTTTTGCTCTAACCAAAAGTAATGTTAAGCATTAAAACAAGCGCAGTTTATGATTGATAAACAGAAAAAATAGTGGTAGGGTCATTAAAATTGTCCATAAACCCCAATCATTAGCTAGAAAAGGGCATTGCAAATGACAGAAGCAATAATTTTTGCATGTTCATAACTTCCGTTCTATAATTCAGCATTGAATAGAGGAAAAAGTCAAGGCACAGACCATGATTTATCAACATTGTAGCTAAGGACAGAAATTCTTCATGCACGACATTTATTTAAATTATGTTATTCACGGTATGTATTTTGAATTTTGTTTATTGAAAGATATTTTCCTTTGAAAATTAATGTAGACTAAGTGTTTGATATTTAAAGGGTGTATCTATTTTCAACATAATTGTTATTTTTCGCCTGAGGGATTGAAGTTAATTTACAGTAGTAATGTAAATTTCCGTATAAACCTATCTAAATGCTTAATTACAATTTAAGAATACCTGTTATTTTTGTCTTATCACTGAACTGATACATCATCAGTTTTTTTTTTCTTTCGATCTGTCTGAATTTTTTTTTTTTGCAGTCCATATATATGCAATATTTCTTGCAAAGTTATCAAAATATCTTTGTGTGTCCCTGGTAATGTGTGTATGTATTTGACGATGAGATTTTCGTGCAGATTATGACACTATTTGTGAAATGTTTGTCCTTTATATCCAGAAGTTTGATGATATTACCTCGAATTCCTATTCTCCAATTCAGAAATGTATGGTGATATCTAACAAAGAATTCTATTAGATCCGTTACTTTGGCACGCAATGAACTTGTTGTGATGTATGAGGTTTTGCTCCGTATCGTAGGTCTCAGCTGGGACTATTATACTGTTAGTATAATAGTCCCAGGTCTCAGTATGACTTTAGATGATAAAAAACAGTTAAAAAAAATAGTTTAAGCGCTAATTTTGCACTGGGTTTTGGTCAGGTAAGTGTAGGTATTTTGTACGATATATTATTACACGATATCCCTAATATTTGTCGTTAAATTTCACTATATAATTTAATTATGATTTTAAATTATGAATATCATCTTCATTGAAATAAAATTTTATATCGAAAATAAGAAAATGGAATATATGGAGTAAATTTCGCTGTGAAGACAAATCTAATGTCCACCAATGTTTCCATGATCTCTCTTGGATTCTCGTTTCCCGGGGGTCATGTTAAAACAAAAACAGCTATTACAATGTTTTTATTTCGACTGAGGACATCGTAACTTTTAGGAAAATCCTAAGTCACCAACTTTAGGACCAAATTTAGGACATATCTTATCTTAGGAGACTTTCGTTAACCTGACTTTTAGAACTAATTTAAGTTGTGTCCTAAGACCACCCTAAGACACGTCCTAGTCCTGAGACAGCTTCGTTGACACGGCCCCTGGTTAACATCTTTCTAATTATTTATCTTTTGTCGAAATAAGTATTATAGTATAATATATTATTATTTGTATTTCACACATGCTTTATTCAATATTTGTTATCATTGTAATGGTATCTTCATTCATTCATTCATGCTACAAACATGACCACCGACATTTAATTAGTCATACTGTAGTGTGAATTTAAGTGATAGTCTTGGATTATCATCGATGGCTGCTACATAATTTTGAGGAATATATACTTTCAGAATTTTTCAAAAAGGTAAGTATTTTCTACCCCAGGAATAGATTAGCTTAGCTGTATTGGCAAACATTTTCAGAATTTTGGTCTTAAATGCTCTTCATTTAAAAATGTATTTACTGGTGCGGTACGTTTTTTCTATACATTCGATAAACATAACCTGACACAAAACGTGTTCATAAGATCAAAACTACACATGCATGTATACATGTATATTCACATGGGATAAATTTAAAAACTTTTGGCGGAAAATTTGAAAAAGTAAAAGTAATTTTGAATTGTTTTGAATTTTTCTAACACCTTTTTATCCACGGGCCTCTTACAGCTTACAAAACGGTTCGGGTTATTTTGTTCAATTTTTTTTTTTGAAGACCGCTTAGTTTATAATATATTGAATAAGGGGTGAACAAAATCAGATGAACCAAATGAATGACTTGAAACCGAAAGTGTTTAAAAAATAAAATAAAATGTACAACGTTGCATTATGATAGTTATCTCATTCAGAAATATTCAACCATGAAAGATACTAAATACTTTTATTATATATATGGCTGTACATTTTCTGATTTTTTTCGTTGTCTAAAAGCAGATAATAAATTTAGTGTAAAACATGGACTTTTGTCTAGTTTAATATCTTAAGCAAATACTAGAAAATTGGTGATGGATCAAAAAGTCAAATAATAAAACAAAATATATATATAATTGTTGAATTTTGATATCAGTCAACACAATGATTTCATCAACACCAGCGATGTCAATATATCATCCTCGGCCGTTGACATCGGTGAATATCATATCTCTTGTATGGATAAATCGTTGTATAAACCTCATCAAAAGTCAATAATTGTATATAATATGAAGGTACATTGGAAGCATTTAATGTGATATTTTTTGCAATAGCATGATATACACAAAGCTGGGATTTTTTAAAGATTACTATACGGGTATGGATTTTGCTTATTGTTGAGGGCCGTACGGTGAAATATTATTGTGTTCATATCCTTGTCCTTTGGTCTTTGGTAATTAGTCGTCTCATTTGCAATACTACCACCTCTCCTTAATTTTTAATGCATATTCCAATATCTATGTAAAATAGAAATGATCACAGACGAGTAGAATGTATTTCGTTCGGAAATGTTACAGTGTTTGTGGTTGCAGTTGATGAAACTACTGATTTTTCTATAAACTCCTTATTAAATAATAAGGGATTTATATTTTTAAGACAACAGCAAAATATATCTTTGAAAATTTTGCGAAACTTCACACTGAGAAAACACAAAATTGCTAAATTAATCGGACAAGTAACTTGAAATATAATATGACCAACACCGACTAATTCCTCGTGTGTATCTGTAAATCGTATGCCTTTTATTCTGCTGATCAAAAATGTTGTTTGCAAGATTGCTTCAGTAACTACTATAAATATCATAATTAAAATGACGGCAAAGTCGAGGCGTTCTAAACCACCAGTCTGGGATTGCGAAGAGTTTAATTTCCTCCAATGTTGAATTTCCTTGGACTTTCTGAGAAGTAGTGTGGTAAAAATAACAAGCGTCATGCATGGTACAAATACTAAAATTCCTATTCTGAGCGCATATTCCGAGTCGGTTCTGACTTTTGCTGACCTCAAACAGCCAATTACTGTCTTATTAGTCCGCTTTCGATATTCATAAAATTGTTCATAACTAACTTTAGTAAATAAATCCATTTGAGAACCAATACTTACGACAAAAATAAGGACACTAAAGATGATTCCATTTCGGAAACGACATATCCTTTGTGCTTTAAGAGGAAATGCTACTACAATGAAACGTTCAATTCCAAGACCTACTGTCAAATGAAGGGAGGTTATGTGTAGAATTTCTGGAATAAATTTCTGTGTGTATTCAAAAACATAGCACCATGACAAAGTTAAATATCCATTGTCTTTCTTAAGACCAAAAACATATACGTTGAATGGTATCGGAATGAAACCAGTCAATGCATCTGCTAACGCTATAGCAATCACGATTACATGGGTGGATTTTTTGAACTTCCCTTTGATTAAAGTTGTAATCAGCAAAATGTTTAATGTAATGACGATGGTGCTTATAAATGGAGACACAATCCCATAATAAATGTACAAATTACTTTCTAAATATTTGTCCAATGTAACTAATCGAACACCCACTTTTGGGTGAGTTGTTGGTGTATTATTTAAGTTGTTTAGTCGCCCCGTTCCATTAAATATTGCAGGTCTAGTTGGTCTTGGTGAAAATGCTGACATACTGTTAAGTGCCTATCAAAAATTAACGTTTTAGTCCAAATGACAAGCTTAATAATTAAACACGTAGAAGTTGACAACTCAACAGTAGATTATTTTATATCAAAGCCGCAACAAGGACAGTTCTAGCGGATATGTTAACCTTCAATATGGATAGAAAACTGCATTTCATTCCGGATCCGTTTGATATCTTCTTACTAAGCATGCTAAGGATAAAGAAAATGATTAAAAATATAAATAAGAAATTAGAATAAATCAACTATATCTAATATGCTTAATGTTGTGTTTTAAATAACAGTTTTGTTGTACTTTTAGTTATGCTTTAATTTAAATTGTGCTTCAGTTTCAGCAGGTTAAGTTGTGCTTAAAATGTTTAGTAGTGCTTTGCATGTAATTCACATTGACTGTTCTGTATTAATGCATTTTAATATATGCTGCTTAAATCCTTTATCTGCAAGCTCCCTATTTTATTTTATGTATATGCTATTTGTATTCGGTAAAAAGAGTTTATGTTTACATTGTTATATGTGACCGAATCAAAATAAATCTGTTGTATTCCTAGTCTTATCAAAAAAGTTGTCTAAAATATATTTCATCAGCAACTTTAAATGACCGCAAAGTGGATGCAATCTAAACTACAGACTAAGATTGTGAAGAGTGTTATTTACTCCAATGTTCAATGTCCTTCAACTATCTGGGAAGTAGTGTAGAAAAACTGTCATAAGAGGGGGAGGGTTTGGCGCCAGCAAACATGTTCAACCCCGTCACATTCTGTATATGTCTGTACCAAGTCAGGAGCCTGTAATTTAGTGGTTGTCGTTTGTTGCTGTAGATCATGTTTGTTTTTCGTTTATTATTTTGTACATAAATCAGGCTGTTAGTTTTCTCGTTTCAACTGTTTGTCATTTCTGGGCCTTTTAAAGCTTACTATGCGGTATGGGTTTTGCTCTTCGTTGAAGGTTGTACTGTGACCTATAGTTGTTAACTTCCATACGTCATTTGGTCGCTGGTGGAGAGTTGTCTCACTGGCCATCATATCACATCTTCTTAGCTTTATACAATAGTCCGCCTTTGATAATTGTTCAATACTAACAATTGTAAATAATTCAATATTTGACAACAAGACACCGGCTGATAATAATAACAGTAAGCCATCAAAGCAAAGGCAGCCTCGATCTCAGTAAAATATTTACCACGATTCAAACTGATGATCACTTAAAACAAAAAAGTAACGGCTTACCCAAAATGATGATCACTTAGAACCTGGACAAGACAACAGCATATATATTTATCTTTATGGACATTGGTTGTCCTTTTCATATCAAATTAGTTATTGTTTTGATGAGTGGTATGATATTGTTGGCTAGTGTACTTTTTACAGAGTTTAAATCAAATTCAATCTAAATACAAAACATTTCGTATGTTCAACGCTGAAACTAATTCTTTCACAATACGGTTAAAAATACACAAGTTGTGTAAGTTAAACTGTTAAAACCACATATCACAATATATAGGTAGCAATAACTTACCCGTTAAACCGTCTTGTTTGTTATGTAAAAGTAACTTGAACTTCATCTGCTATGTTTTAGTTGCGTCATGTGTCACCAATGTTATGATGCATATCCTTAATTAGTGCTATGTTTTAAGTCGTTATTTACAAAACATTGAGAATTTCTGTGGTAACGAATTGTATAATAGAGATATAAATCTAGTGTATTTCCCTCAAGTAGTATGTAACTAATTCCTCATTTTGATATTCTTGTTAGAATATATTTTAATTATATCCGCTTATCAAACGTAGTTTAAATGATTGATACTGGTTTCTGTCTCAATGAATTAAATTGACGTTCCAAAGAACTGTTATACAGATTGATAGATATTTAAAAAAGGGACATATTTCGACTCGCTAAATCGTTTGACCTTGTTATGAATAAAAGGTGATGTAAGGCAAACGCCATTGAGACAGCAACCCAATGACAAAAATTCCCAAAGACATTTATGTGGCAACTTAGTTTTCTACATTAGACAGACATGTATGTGGCAACTTACAGTTTTCTACATTAGACAGACATGTATGTGGCAACTTACATTTTTCTACATTAGACCTACATGTATGTGGCAACTTACAGTTTTCTACATTAGACAGACATGTATGGATGAAAAACAGTAAACACAAAACAGAACATTGAAGTTCTACAATTTTTCTTTAAACTTTCTAATTTAGAGGATGATAGAATAGTTCAGACTATCCATGAAACTAGTAAGACGAAACAACGTTCATAGCATTCACGTGTATTAGCATTACTGAGAAAATGTGAATAATACTATTTGAACAATCTCAAAATAACAACCATAGCTACATATTGCCCAAAATAAATTGACAGTTATAGATCGTGAGAAATCGGTAGCTGATGTTTTTTACTACAAAAATTGTGAAAATGAAAACAAACTCAGACCATTTAGAAGGTTTAAAGGGAAACTTCGCAAAAAAATGAAAAAATGATATTATATATAGATATAGGAAGATGTGGTATGAGTGCCAATGAGACAACTCTCCATCCAAGTTAAAATTTATAAAAGTAAACAGTTATAGGTCAAGGTACGGCCTTCAACACGGAGCATTGGCTCACACCGAACAGCAAGCTATAAAGGGCCCCAAAAAATTACTAGTGTAAAACCATTCAAACGGAAAAACCAACGGTCTAAGCTATATAAAAACGAGAAACACTTATTATGTTCATTATGTATAAAAAAGCACAAATTCATAAATATTAAAGTTTCATTCTGCTAGATAAGAGATCACCATCGATTTTAAATTGAGAGTATCTATTCTGCATGCGGCCATTTTGTCATCTTCCCGGTTTACGAAACCACTTGATATCTATAAACCACAAAGGACCAAAACCAGCAGTAACCTAACGTAGTCGTAATTGAGTGTCGATATCTTGTCAAGCGTACGGTTGTTTTATTCGACAAGGAAAGCATAAACAGTTAACCGGGTCACACAAATGATTATAATAGACATGGTTGTGCAACCTTTCCTAATTACCTTGATACGGAAAATGTAATTATTTTTTTAAATAACTATGGTCTGTCGTTTTTGAAACAAGAAATTTAAATGTGAATTAGTTAAAAAGTCAAAGTTCAAATCAAAAATAAGTGTTCCATGTAAGATTGTTTTCGAAAATCTAATTTGTTCATAATTCTTTCAGTTTAATGTAATAAACTTATTTAAATAAATTCGGACCTTCCCTTATCTGATCACCAGCATGGCTAAAGGAATTATTCCCAGAGGTATTGTGAGGTGACACGTCCAGGTATTCAAGCGATTTCCTGTCGTGCTAAAAAATTCTTATTACACAATTACACAATGCAAGTTCATGCATCGCTTCACTTCTGAGGGTATTGTTCAGTGTGAATGTAGGACAGAAAGTCACAGGACAAAAAGTCACAGACAAAAAGTTACGGACAAAAAGTCACAGGACAAAAAGTCACAGACAAAAAGTTACGGACAAAAAGTCACAGGACAAAAAGTCACAATTCAGTTTTGAGATTATTTTTCTTTAAACAAGAAAACACTAATTTAAAAAATTAATTTTTTGCTTTTTCTTGAACTATTATATATGAAGCAACTTTGTGTAATTAAAATTTATTCAATAAATATCAATAATGATCAAATATTTGTTATGAAAACAAAATGTCAAAGTGGCTTGGTACTTAAATGGCTTCATTGTGCCAAGAAATATATCCTTTGCATGATTAAAATTTAATAAATTTTCATTTATCAAGGCTCATGAACAATTTTCTAAACTTAAAAATGAATATATGTAATAAAAAGAAAATAATTCAAGATCTTTTTCTTATATATTCAAACAATCGTCAACAAATTATTTGTGACTTTTTGTCCTGTGACTTTTTGTCCTATCAAATTTGTGACTTTATGTCCTGTGACTTTCTGTCCGTTTACCGATCAATGTACACGGCCAATAACTTGTAACTTTCCATTTCAAAACTACCAGGTGTAATGTACATCTTTGTCTTGCGTGTCCGATAGTGATATACTATAGTCATTACTTAACTCATACGCTTGTTTACAAATAACATTTCTGGTGTAAAGAATGATATTTATGAAAATCTAAATAATTCCAAAAAAAAGATTTATAAAATAAAAATCTATTTACATATTTTCCAAGGGTAAATTGGGGAAAATGTAAGTATATACTCGTTGTCAATAATTATGGACATTTTGAAACATACAAATATTGATTTAACAAAAATGTACGCACTTGTCGATCATTGGTTTATACGCCTAGATAGAAAGTTACGGAACTATAGATAGCCGCAATTTAAAGGAAAATATAAACATGTATATTGAATATAGGAGAGAAACATCCAGAACCAATCTGAATTAAATACAGGTCGATATCTAACTTGCTTTGGTTCATCGATGTTATGGACATAGTAAAATCACAGATTTATATTTCAATTAGATTGTTCTCGAACAGTTTAAGAAATTCGTCATCATCACAATTGTTGATAATAATGTATAATAATGTAAACATGGTTCTGTTAGTACCTTATGTCAATTTTCCTGTTCCGACATGCATGTTATATATATGCCACTGGACGTACACTAATGATCCCCAAAAAGCCTATATTTGAACTGGGACTATTATACTAACTAGACTAAGTGTATAATAGTCCCAGATTTGAAGAAATAAAGGAACTTCACTCCGGATAGACTGATAGTAGTTGTATTAACGTCTGATCAGCTAGGGGGTTTATTAATTTATTTAGTTAGCTTGTGGGGGAATAAACCATTCCCAATATTGCACTTATGGATAAAAAAATATTAAATGAGAGTAATATAAGAGAAAATATAAATACGAAAAGTCGCATATCTGGTAGAAAAAGTCCCACCAGCTATAGGATTTTACGTACAATTGTCGTTCTTAATCGAAATAACAGACAGTCGTTAAGATACATGCATGTACGCTGTGATAAAAAGTGGAGGTCAAGTCTATCGAAAGTTACAAAATAAGATCGTTGTATTTATGAATTTACAAGAAGAATTCTGTTCTTGGACGTAGTTTTCTTATTTTTTTTAGTTCAGTGATTTAAATTGAGAGAAAAATCTAGTCAGAATTTAAATCGTTCCGGCAATCCCCCACCTAAGACTCCTTTAAAATCATGAATGGTCATGCTTCACAATCATCAGAATTTTCTTTGCATTGGTACATTCTGTATCGGTAGTGATTAAGCTATAACAGAGCTATTTGTATAATACCTGTATGTGGTTAGGTGACGTCCCATGAGGTCTTACGTATACAGGTTCACATTTATAATGGTTTCTGATATAACAAGGTTTTATGAAATTCACACTTCTGCATGCTCTGTTTACCAAATTCTTATCTTATTTTCAGACCGAATGTGGAGGTGAATATTTTCCAGGAAAAATATTGAGTATCAAATTAATTTCGGGATTTTTTTTCTTTCTTGGTATTAAATCACAGAAATTTAAAGAATATACTGCTTGTCCGCTTTAGGAGTATTCTTGTCATTTTAGACAGATATTTTGTGTTAAAAATTTATTCCGCTGGTCTGTCTCCATTCAAAAAAGGAAAGTTGACGTTAGATTGATTCTGTTATTTTTTTTAAACATCGTTGGTCAAATAGCTAAAGTATTTATACGTTGTGAGATTTTAAATATTTTTAATAAGGGCATTCCCGATTAGGTAAATGTAAATCGCTTTGGACGGACCAAACTATATTAATGTAACTGATATAATTTTCTCAGCACATTTAAATATTCAAGGTTACCGATTATAATTGAAAATAGTACAGTTTTAGGTTTATACGCTCGTTTTCGTGGGCCATTTTTATTTATGGAATTATTTAATTGAAAGTAATTCAGAATTTCAATGTTACAAAAAAATACTCACCTATTTATTTAAAAACTGAGCTAACACAAAATATTAAAAAAATATATAACGGCGATTCAGGTATTTTGCTACCATATTCCTCCCCAAATATTTTTTTTTCTGTCTCAAAACCTGCACACTTCTCTTTTATCATTTTTTGTAATGTTTGACACACATGAAACGGTGAACCCTTGAGGCCAAACAACACTCTAGTGAAGATCAAAAGATTAAAATTACATAATGCTAATCTTTTAATTATCGCGAATTTAACCACGCCTTTACCAGGTAGTGTCAGTATAGTACACATTGTATTTACACAGTATTAGCGGGAAATGTTTGCTAGACTGAAGCAAGGATTTGTATAGTAAGACAAATCCTTGACTGAAGTAAAAGGTGGGAATACAATTATGCATTTTTATTACACTATCAGTTGTAAATGTTTGTTCAACATATCCGTCGGAACAAAAAATCATAAAAATATTCTATTGTATGATTTACTTTTATTACAATAATCATATCAGAAATCCCTAAAATATAAATCGTACATTTTGATTTAAAATGTTTCACGGCTGATCACTTTACTCACTTAATTATTAGTTGGTTAATAGTTACCCAAAATAGTCGTCGATGCGCTTTAAATCGCGTTATTAGATGA